ACACACACACACACACATACATACACACATACTCACATACATACACACGCACACTCACAGTGATAGAAAAATAAACTATTGAGAGGGCTGTGCCTATGTCTTGAAATTCTCGGGGAAGTCTTAGATAAAGCAAGGCACATATCATCAGCAACATCTAGCTTGTTCCTTGCTTTTGTCTTGAGTTGGACAAGGGTAGAAAATCCACTTTCTCAAAGGTAAGTCGAGGCATATGGGCCAATGACTCGAAGTGCTGTTTTGCTGACCTGAGGGTATGATTCCTGGAGTGAAAACTGTGCAAGAGATTTCTCAAGAAACGTGTCGCGTGCTGACGATTCATGTCTCAATTCCAAAAGCTCGTCTTGAATGACATCTGCAATGACAGTGATGTCTAGTCCAGGAGCGAAAGGGTTTCCCACAAAAGCTTCTTTACCAGAGTCGAGGTCAGGAAAATAGTTCTTGAACGCATCTTCAAGTGATTTCAAATGTGCAGCAATGCCAACTTGAAGATCAGTGGACAAGGTCTCCTCTGGATTTAACAGCTCTGTGAAATTTTGGTAAACATAGCAATGTTTCCCTCTGTAACTTTCCGATCCCAATTCTGAATTTTTTAAGAAAGCCACTCACAAAGTGTGTCTGTTGACCTTGAAGTTTCAAGTTGAGTTTGTTGAGGAAGTCAAACATATCAAACATAATACTATAGGCAAGTTTTTGGATCCACAAATCATTTGAGAAGAGCCTGCTGAGCTCATCTTTTCCTTGCACTTCAAGGAAGAACTTGATTCGATCTCCTCTCTCAGCTCGAAGACCCGACATGAAACGTTTCCTTTCGATAACCATCGAACTTGAGTGTAGATAAGCGGTATTTCAGGATCTGCACTCATGTCAGAACAGAGTTCCTTGAACAGTCGTGTATTTAGGGGGTTGCATTTCACATACTTGATAACCTTAACAGTCGGTTCCAACGTTTCCTTCGAAGTGCGATTGAGAGTCTTGCAAGCTAGTGCATATCTATGTGTTATGTAGTGAACGCCTTTTGCGTGTGGTGCTTTGTCCTTCACTTTATCCTGAAAGCCCGACTTAGATCCCTTCATGGTTGGGGCTCCATCAGTACAAATACCACACACATTCTTCCACTCAAGACTCAAGACCCTCGTTAAAAAAAAATTAGGATATCTTGTTAATGACATCATCAGCTGTTGTTGTGGTGTCCAGTGGGGTGCAAAATAAAAATTCTTCTTTTTTCATATTTTTTCAAACGCGTATCTCACAAAAACCAGTAACTGTGAGCACGGTGCCATCTGTATTGTGCCAAGCTTTATAACTGGTTCTTCTATTGAGGGTGGTTTCTTTTATGCTGTTGCTCTCTCTCTCTCTCTCTCTCTCTCTCTCTCTCTCTCTCTCTCTCTCTCTCTCTCTCTCTCTCTCTCTTCCAAATCTTTTTTTATCTCCTTTGTCAAACTTCCTGACATATCCGTTCCTGTGTGTTTATTGTTCTGCCACGCAACAACATAGTTGCATAATTTATAGATTTTTTTTCTCAGCTAGGCCTATGATCTTATTAGAGATGACAAACTATAGATGCCTGCATTGAATTACAAAGAGACAATAATGGTGAATAAGAGTTTCCGTGATAATTATATTTTTACAGTGACATGGGTTAAATCTACGACAGGGCCTAGGTGTACACAAATTAAGCTCAGGCGAGACAGGATAGGATGAAAATATGCATGACTACCATTACCATGCTTCCTCCTGTGAACCCCTTCTCTGAAGCCAGCACTCATATGGCTCGTCATAAACGAGGCTTCAAGTCATTCTGCTTTGGCCTATGGCGAGGCTAAAATATTTAAAAAGAACACAAACCACTGAAAACCAAACCTATGATTGGCCCACATAAACAGGCAGGGCAAACTGGTGTTGCCTCGTTGTTTTTCTGGCTTTGTTTAGAAGTTCAGGTGTTTACCCTTTTTCTTATTTCAACCAATTGAAGAGGGAACCGTATTTTGACATTTGTCAGGGAAAGGAAAAGATCAATGAATTACTTTTCACAAAATCCTCAATGATCTCGCGACCCCTCAAGAAAGGTTTTGCGACCCCCCGGGGGGTCTTGACCCACAGGTTGAGAGCCCCTGCTCTAGAGAGAGTATCTCTGTGTCTGTATATGTGTGTATGTCTGTGTACATCTGTGTGTGTATGTCTCAGTATGTTAGAGACCATGTGTATCAATGCGTCTTTGTGTTTGTACGTGTGTGTCTGTGTGTGTATGTGTGTGTGTGTGTGTGTGTGTGTGTGTGTGTGTGTGTTCATCACTGTGTGTCTGTATGTCTGTCTGTCTGTCTTTGCGAGTATGTGTGTGTCTGTGTATACGTATGTGCGTGTGTGTGTTCGCGAGTATGTGTGTGTGTGTGCGTGTGTGTGTGTGTGTGTGTGTGTGTGTGTGTGTGTGTGTGTGTGTGTGTGTGTGCGTGTCTGTGACTTTGTGATCAACACATTAAGGTCATATAAGGACCGAAGGAAGTAACACCTATAAACCTCTCCTCCTTCATGTCTGTGTATTTTAGTCTCTAGTGACACCTCTAGTCTACGGCACTTACATGACCTATTTGTGTTGCAAGTGCCGTAAACCTCTAACTAGAACTAAACATAAAAAAATAATTAAGAAAGTGCACGACAACACAATTCTGATCATTTTGGAGGCGGGCTTTAACACTGTCTGTCAGTGCCAACCCAGGCTGAGAGAGATACACTATCCCAGGACACAAAGACATTGGAAAGTTTGTTGTAAGTGTTTTAAGGCTCTAGCAATACAATACGGTTATATAAGTGCCGAAACTTGGAGGTGTTACAAGAGAGTGACGAGGAAACACAAAAAAGGAGGAGAGATAAAGACGACAGACGTTTCATATGAAAAAAGGAGCAAACCATACCAGAGAACCCGCCAACTACCCCCAAATGTCCTACTCAATAATACATTATGTACAATTGGCACAAAGAACAGCCCCACTCAAAAACAACAACAACAACAACAACAACAACAACAACCCCCCCACAAAAAACCAATAACAAACAAACAAAACAAACAGAACAAACAAAAAAAAGAACAAAAGAACACAAAAACACAAAGCAAACCACCAATCCCCCCAAAAAACTTTTATAAAAACAAACAAAGAAAAAACCCAACAACAAAAAAAAATAAAAATAAAAACCATCATGTGAACTTCTTGTAAGGATAGATAATGTGCCTCGTGCGACGTGCTTACTCCATAGAAACTACAGTCGAACCTGCTCTAACGGCAGCATATCCAAAACATTCACATGTACAAACAACCACTTCGACCTTTTTCATTTTCTACATTATTATTATTATTATTATTATTATTATTATTATTATTATTATTATTATTATTATTATTATTATTATTTGAATCATTATGACACTATCCAAAACATAGCGGGGGCTCTCGTGGCCTAGAGGTTAAGGTGTTGGCCTCTCATTCAAAGGTCCCGGGTTCGAATCCGGGTAGCGACCGAAAAATTTTCTTCTCTAAAATTGTCTCCTTCCACCTCCTTTCCTGCTCTCTAGCAATGTTCTGTTGTCTGCTTTCAATTCCACTTTCTGCCCCCACCCCCTCACCTCCTTTGCCCCCTCCTCTGGGCTCCTGACTCTTTCTGCAGCCTTTCTACTGCTACTCCTTGGCTCCTCCTTACTGCTGTCTTTCTGCCACACCCCTGATCTTCTGGTAGGAAAAATCTACACCCAGCCTTCTCGGACAAGGGCGAAAAATCTCGGAGGGCCCGTGTGCAAGTTGCGCACGTTAAAGATCCCTTGGTGGTCTAAAATCGGTAAGAGTAGGCTTCGGCCGCCACCCGGGCAAAATTCAAAATTTCCTACCAACTGAAAATATTAGGTGTGTCCCGCGCGCTCATATGACCTATGCAGTGGCGAGCGCCGTAAAACACTTTACAAAAACAAGCAAAACAAAACAAAACATAGCCACATGGAATATGAGAACAATGTACCAGAAATGTAAATTAAATAATATAGAGCAGGAAAAGGATAGGATGAAGCTAAATATATTAGGCCTTTCAGAATTTAGAGGGGGGCGGGGGGCAGGCTTGATTAAAAGAGGATCCAAAACAATTGTATACTCAGGAGGAAAAACACATGAAAGAGGAGTCGGAATTTTATTTG